AAAATAGTATTAGTAGACAGTTGTTATTTCCTTTACAGTATTTTTGCATTGAGTTTCACATCCTGTCTGTAATCAAGTTACTTGTGAACAGTGAAAGAATGGTTCTGTTTTGATGAATTCTAAGTTGGAAACTTGCAGTTTCTCTGAAGCAGGCAAATTGATCCAAAGAACATTCTCAGAAAACTTCAAAAAGCATTAAATTGCAATTCAACTGGGGGAAAAAAGACAATTTAGTGACATCTTAATTTTTTTTTAAAGAAAATAAAGGCGGAAAACTCCCTGCAGATGAGGATTGTGACCAATCACATCAGTCTCTGGTCGTGGTGTCTAGTGTGATCTCTGGTGCTGTGCTACTGGGTATCATCTTGGCATTTCTCATCTGGATCATCCTTAAGGTACTTCTGATTCATCAACTATAACTATAATGTGCTTTTAAGTAAGTGTGTGTGTGTTTTTTATCTGTTTTAAATATATAAACATATATATATTGTCAAAATAATTAATTATTGGAAGGACAAAACCCAAGTATACTTTTAAAGGTTATATAAAAACATATGGAATGAAATTGGAAATGGAATTTTACACCTAAAATGTTTTCATGTCAGTGCAAAGCTGCCAAAAATATGCCCGGGGTAGTGATCTTTTAACATTAAAGCCATCTTGCTGTTGTTTACCATCATATAGCATTTCATTAATCTACCTAAGCAGTGGCAAAGTCTCAGATAAAAGAAACTTCACACGTTCACTCTTTTGCTGCCAGACAAGAACTTCCTGCTTCAGACCAAAACGAAGGCAGGTCGCCACCAATGATGTTTATGAGGATATGCGTGGAAGACAGAGGATGTCAAACTAAAGTCAGAGTGAAATGCTCTGGAGCGCAATCAGGAAAGTGATGCGTGGGAAGCATTGCAGCGATTCCTTGTGGACCAAGACACGCTGTGTCTACATCTGTGTATCAGTGACAGTCATAACAATGAGGTGCAGGAGAGAAGCACAAACATGACTGATTGACCGCCTTTACAAAAACATAATCATTGTTTTTGCAGTCTAAGGGATGTTTTAATTTTCTATGTAAATATGTTAATACAATTATGTGTGTATAAAGTTCAGAATGTGATTGATTTGAAGTCCTCAAGCCTTTTTCTACACCAGTGATTTCAACTTGCCATACTACCTCCATCAGATGTTTTTTCTGTAGCGTCAGACATTCCTTCCTGCCAAACATGCCGTCAACATTTTTTTAGACACTTTCTTGTAAAAACCTGTTGATATAATCTTGAATCTGTAAAAAGAAAACAATATGTTGACATGGCATTTGTCTTCCTGATGTTCTGACTTGGCCTGAATGTATGTATAATTAAAAAGAACAACAAAAAAGTTTTTTTTAATGATTACATTTATTTTTTTGTTGTGTCTTGCAGTCCTGTATGTTTTTAGAAATATTTTGCACTTTGTCTAGAGTTCAAATTTCCAAGCCGCCATCAAAACACACATCCAATCATTTCTATTTTACTATGTAGAATCTTTTATTTGGTGACACACTGTTATTATATCACACGTAAAGTTGTG